AGGGCGAAAGAAGAGGCGGAGCGTATTGCTAAGCTGGGATATGACCCTGAAGCCGAGAAGGCACAAGCTGAAGCTAAAACAGGATCCGCATCGTTAACCACCAGAATTACATCCCCTGCACCGGTCAGTCCCGCCCGAGGTGGTTTTGGAGCCACCAAAACCCATGAAAGAAACCCCAACGATGTTGACCGCCTCGGAATGGGTATTGGCCGTCTGGGATTTGGCCAGGTTGGCGCCGCGCCAAAAGCACAAGCCACTAAGAAACTAGGTTTTGGAGCAACCAGCACGCCTAATGCTGCGGATGGTAAGAAACATTTGATCTCTACATGGAGGCCTTTGGTTTCTTCTCCAAACTAATATCGTTTTTACCCGTTTAGCCGAGGAATTAGAATATGCCAGAAAGAAATTCGGTAACCAGAAGGGCATCTCCTCCGACGAATTTTTCGGTCGCGACCAATTCGATGCTGCCGCCCAGGCGGAAGCCAAGAGCCGGCTTTCAAATTTCGAAGGCGCGACATCTATATCTAGCAATGCTTACTTCGGCCGTCCTGAAGATGACCTACCGGCTAACGATGAGTACGGTGGTTATGACGATCTAGAGAGTGCAGCGAGAGATTTTGTACGACGCTTTGGAATTACGGCGGGTGACGATCTGGAGAATCTGACTCAGGTGCTTGGTGAGGGTGCGGTAAGGTTACAAGGTATGCTTTTCTCTCGACTTCCTCTTTGTCCCTGTTCTATTGTGTACGCCTTCCACCATTTTACAGAGAGCTAACTTTTTATGGCCGTCTGAATAGGAGCTATTCGAAATTATCTTAATAGTTAAGAGACGGATTGCAATTCTTTCAGTTCCCTTTGTGCCTTGCGTTTTTCTTTTAGCATATAATAATACGTCTATTTTCTCTTGATTTAATACATTGCTTTCCGTTGGTTGCTTCAATTTGTTTGGCTGGCGACTCTTCTTTGGCGGAAGGGCTCTATCCAGTAATAATGGAGACATGCTGGAGACAAGGTCCACGATAACGACGATCGTTGCTGGCTACGACGGGGGGCAAGTTCGTTAATAATTTGTGTAAGTAGAATACTGATTTTGCCTCCTTTTTCTCTTCTCTTTCTCTGTATCTTTTTTTAAATTTTTTTAAATTTTTTAAATTTTTTTTTTTTTTTTTTGGCTCTCAGCTCAGGCACTTTATTTGGGAATCTTTTCTTTTGATCAGGTTGAAGTGAGCATACAACTCCGATAAAACGATAGATGCTATTTTGAAATATTTTTGTTGAACAGAAACCACGTAGTAGTTGTGTGAAATAGAACGTGTTTAATAATTCTCTCTATATTACGAATTTGGCCGTTTTTGCATAATCAGCTGGATAATAAATACAGACAAAAATCTTAACACAAACTTCGTAATACCTGGTGTTGAACATGAGACAAAGTATATATTTGGTATTACATGGTGTTGAACTTGCTATTTATGCCCAAAAAATAAATTGCAGCAAGGGCACAATGGACGTGTGCAAGGCTTCCAACGATTATTTCCCTTTCAGATCAATCGACTCTATCTCTATAAATTGCATCTGCCATTTTAACCACCTGCCTCATCTCGTTCACATTGTGCACCCTTACGATATCCGCACCACCAGCTATAGAAGCCGTAACACCTGCCGCTGTACCCCAGAGCCGTTCACTAGGCGTCTGAACCCCTGTAATATTCCCAATAAAGCCTTTTAAACTCGTTCCCACCAGCCACGGGAAGTAATTCAACTCTTCAAATGCTCCCCTCAAAATAAGCCCGTTCCTCAAAATCTCGAGATTCTGGGGTTGGATCTTCGCAAAGCCAATTCCGGGGTCGAGAATTATTCTCCAGCGCCGCACACCAACTTTCTCCGCCTCTCTGACTCTCTTTATGAGTTCATTAGCGACACCACTGATGATGCCGCTTCCGCCCCCAGGGCCATCGGCATATGCGCTGTAATCGGTAAGTTTGGTCATTGTCTGCGGCGTGCCGCGCATGTGCTGGAGGATCACTGTCTTCTGAAGTTTAGCCATGGTAGCCAGCATGTTGGGATCCATAGTGCCCCCAGAGATATCGTTTATGATATCTGCTCCTGCCTCAACAGCCGCCTCCGCGACACTAGCGCGATATGTATCGATGCTGACTGCGATTTTGTTGGCCTCGGGGAGGGAGCGGATAAGCCGTATGGTAGGGATGACGCGCGAAAGCTCCACTTCTTTGGTCACGGGAGGGCAGCCAGGGCGGGTACTTTCGCCTCCTACGTCGATGATGGTCGCTCCGTGCTTAATAAAGTTGAGGATGGTCTCAGTCAGTGCGGGGATGTTTTCGGGTGAGTGCTTGCCGCCATCGGCGAAGGAGTCTGGAGTCACGTTTAGGACAGCCATGATGTTGGTGGCGCGTTTGGGGTCGCTGGGGGTGAGGGGTGGGAGATGGGGAAATAAAGGGGTAACGGCGATTGGGGGGGGATTGGAGGGAGGAAGCGAGTCTAGGTATGACTGATATGAGAGGGCTTTATCAGATAGGGGAGGGCGTTCATTGGGTATAAGTCTATGGCTATGTTAGTAGGGAGTAAATCGTTGCTACCATGGGCATGACCGGTTGAGTTGAATCGTACTGGCAAAGCGGTCGCAAGACAAATTCCCGTTCCAGCATTAATTTGTGGGGTATTTCCAGTCGAGGGTGTGAGAATTTTAAATCATTGTACAGCAGTATATCAAGATCGATATTACGGGGACCCTTGTCTATAATTTTACGTCTTCCCATATCGTTCTCAATTGACTGGAGGGTGTTTAATAACGCAATAGGCCCCATCGTAGTTTCAATCTGTGCTAGCCGTCAGCAGGTCAAAAATTCAAGTGACAACATCTAGTGACAGAAGAGACTTAAGACTATCCAAACCTCACAGGCGCCATTGACGAATTTTCCCTGATCCGTCACATACATAGGCGCTGTTTCGAAGAGACTGCTAGTTCGTATGATTTTGAGACCACGGGCTTCCATTTCTCGGCATGCTTGCTCGATCATGGCAATACAGTCACCCATATTGCTGCCCAGGGCAATGAATGCCCGGCATGGCGACTGAGCCTCCCCAGCACTGGATGAACCAGCTGCTGGTGCTGGAGAGCTGGAATAAGCCCGCTGCTGATTCATGACGTGTGAAGCAGAGTTCCTGACACGGAGATTACCAGAGAGAAGCCCTGTGAACTGGCACGGTTGTTGCCCCCCGGCTGCATTTATCTGCAGAACACGGAGGCCACGTCCTGGCGCAGGGCTGCACTGAGAGAACGAGCGTTTGGGGCTAGATGTGCCTTCCCATGTAGAGGATCCGTTAAGGTGGCGACCTGGGACAGAAGCAGAACCGCTGCCGCCCCGCAACAAAAGTGACAGTGAGGTCAAATCACCGTCGGCAGGGAGTGCGCCTTTCCTTTATCCTCGAGTTAGCCAATCGGATCCAAAGCGGCTACAGTGCGGGGATCTGGAAATAATTGAACAAAACGGAAAAATACAAACCTTTGTGTGGACGCAATGCTGCGGATACTTTTCTGGCGGCCGCTGAGGAATTTCGCATCGACTAGCTGAGGTGAAAGGCGAGGGCGAAACAGGTTGGCCACGCTACCATCCCAGCGACGACAACACCTGTGCATTTGCATCTCTGGCTCTCAGGTGTGGAAATGTAGAGACAACATGATGTGCGAGTTTCGACGCCTTTCTACATGGATAAATTGACGGATGGGCAGCTCTGGAACGCGCTGTGCTGAGTCATCCAGCAACAGCCAATCAGTAGCTTGTGGTTAACTATAAGGTTGAAGGGCCCCAAGGGTTTGGACGTTGGACGTTGGAGTTGGGACGTTGATCGTACGCCGGAAACACGGGCGAACAAGTTGAGGGTTGGTAGTTTGAACTACAAAGGTCTTGGCCCACTTTTTGCAAATCTCGAGAACCAAACAGTCTTCCGCATCTTCTATTCAACCTCACGCGGCCTTGCGACGCCAGGTTTAGGGTTAGGCTTGGAGTTCGTTAAGGTTAATGGTCAGAGGAATATGATGAGAATCAGCAGCGGTCAAACGCAATGCAGACAGAGATGGGTGTGAGACCGGTGTGACTAGCTATGAATAGTTATGTAGTTTTTCATGTGGGAGCGTCGTGGCTTATCATTGAGAGTTTTGTCCGAAACCACATTCAAAATAATATGCCTTCGACCGAGATTGTTAAACCGGTGTTCAATGATACGCCCGGGTTGTGGATGGAAGGGATGTTGAAGAATGGGAAGACTATTATGGATGTTCTCCACCAAAGACAAAGAACCCACCGTTGATTGATGTCACAGAGAACAACAACGCGGTCATTTGCCCAGGCAGATCTCCCCACCATAGGAAATTCTCCGCGCTTCAGTATCTGGAACAATAGGGCTCGCCCTCTCCTATTGTTCCTTTCTTTCTTTTTTGCTCCATTTATAACCCGTCATTAGCCCCCTTTACGAACTCTCCTGTTCTCATTTGCTTCTGATCGATATGTTGAGGGCCTTGATTAAAAAACGACGTCGCTGGTAGCTCTTTGTCCATGCAACACCTCTTACATCCGAACCAACGCCGCGCTGGACGAGCCCTACCCCAATCAAACACCGATAGAATTTCCCAAAAGTCTAAAAAGGACAAAAGAAAAGAAACATCAATAGTATGGTTCACGGACGCGAAAACAAAAACCCACATACTAAGACCGCGGGTGAAAAAGACCTCCAGTATCCTTGATGGGTCAAACCCAAGCTATAAAGCATCATGTGAAGAGAAAGGAAATTGCTTATGTACATGTTCAGGAAAGGTAACTGACTCGCACGCATAACTACCCCGATAAACAACACAAATTCAGATTGGCTGAGCAATATGCAGTATACCAAGCCGAGAGCCCAACCAATCCTGGGCCTGGGAAAGGAGTGCTGTTCGATCGTGAAACGTAAAAAAAAAAAAAAAAAAGTGACCGGACTTCATTTCAGCAATGTAATCGTGGAGCAAGCTTATCATCAACCGGAGCAATGTCAAGGAAAGTACACGCAAACTGAATGAATCGATACACGTCGGCAAAATTCGACATGAGACCAAGCGACACCCGAATGCCACCGCCGCTAGGCATGCCCATATCAACCAGGAAGTCATTCCAACCCTTCTTCCGGCCGTTCCTTGACTCCATTTCCGCCTCTCCGTTGAAGGCGCTAACGAGGATGTTTTGAGAGAGGTTGAATGCCGCCTCTCCAGCTCCGGGATTGCAAAAACAGCCTGTCCTCAGGGATATGTTAACGGCAGCGGAGCGCTTCTCGACTATTCGCTCATCAACCACCTTGCCAGTCGGCGTTATGAAGTTGAATGTGAGTGTTCCGCCACGTCGATGCGTGTTGGGAGCTCCATAGATCCGGATCAGACGGCGCCCGTTGGAGTGACGGAGGATAAGCATGGTCTTGATCAGCCAGTCCATTAGACACATGACACGTTCGTGGATTGTCTCCATGCCGATGCTTGCCAAATGATTGAGACCAATGTGTACCGTCGGAAGGCTCAAATAGTTCACTGTACCATCCTCGAATGCTTCATGCCCGTCAAGGAGCACATGCCCATCGGCCTGGACTGAACTGCCCCAGACAGTCCCTCCGGCAAACCACGGTCTGTTCAATCGAGCCAAAGCTTCCCTTCGAGCTATCAGACAGCCAACACCGGTCGGATAGCCGAACATCTTATAGAAAGAGATGGGTACAAAGTCGGGATGCCATCGGGAGAGGTCCAAGCGATTAGTCGCAACAAAAGCCGCGGCGTCGAGCATTACATCCCACCCCTGTTGGTGGGCTTTCTCAATCCATTCGAGTGGATGCTGGGTGCCTGAGAAGTTCGACTGAGCTGGATATATAAGTAGACGGGAGTTGTTTATTTTCTCATCCTTTGGCAACAGGGCGTTTTCAAACATCACCTCGTCTGCACGCAATTCAGGCCATGTCACTGGGATATACGAGATTGTAGCACCCTTGGCACGAGCGAATTCGCGAATCCCGTGAGCGGAATTATGGTTATCCCATAACAGCATGATCTCGGCACCTGGGCAGAAGGGATATGATTCGCCGACCAATTTCATCGCATGGGAAGCATTAGCTGTGAAGATGACGGCGTATTCCTCAGGAGAGGCACGGAAGAATGAGTACACAAGCGTCCGCCCTTGCTCGCCTAATTCTGTGATGGCGCTTGAGGTTGGATTGAGCGAGTGAGGGTTCCCGAAGACGTTACGGTGAAGAAGGTCATGGTGCGCACGCAGTTGGGAGTCAGCATAGAGTCCTCCGCCGGTATAGTCCAGATAAATGTGGCCCTCTCTGTCTAAGGTAGGATAATCCATTCGACGAATACGATCTATTTTTGCGGTGTTGTTGAAGGTTGGATATTTCTGTCGAAACAGCTGTTCTACTTCTTCGACATCTTTCTGATTTCTCTTCTTCCTGGCCCATGGCCTCAACCATATCTTTCGTGGTATTGTTGGTGGTGGTGGAGAAGAGTAGCCGGCAATGTGGTGTTTTTTCTGCAGCCTCTGAGCTTCTTCGCCCAGCTCGTTCGGCTGTGCAGTAAGGACACTAACACATGACCCCATTATCTTTTGCAGGGACAAAGATCGTAAGGCATATATATATCTCCAGACTGTATGGATATCCAAGTGCCGAAATGGAGTTCAGAGGGAAAAAAGATCCGAACAAGGTGTGCACTTGTTACGTTCCCCTCCGACACATATATAAAAAGGTATGAAAAGTATTTAAATAGTAGACTAATATAATTTTAATTACTCCAATTTGAAACAGGGAAATCCACCCGTTGTTAATGGTCTTCGAATCAACTCAGCAAAACCCAAGATCCCGGGCCTATACCGCTCTCTTTATAGAAAAGGAACACCATCCGATGTATGCTAATCAAGCAACCAATGCGCAATGGTTCATTTACACGCACGATGGATTTGACCTTCATGGTGATTCCAAGAGATAAAACTAAAAAAAAAAAAGGAAGTATACTGACCCAGCTGTACTAACTCCCTCAACCACCCCCATGTACACCGCAGGTTCATTCATTCATTGATTGATTCGCTGCTCGCACAGATGGTTATGCATCCGTCTAACGACCTGCATTACCGTCGTTTGTACAGGTACTTGCATTTTTCCGTTGCTTCCCCCCCCCCCGCCTCCTCTTCCCCCTCTTTCCCCCTTGCTTTCCATCTCTCCAGCACGAGGTGTTTGGGAAGTGGACTAGGAGATGGCTGCCTCTCTCCAATGAGTGTCGGGTATACTTGGCCACACATACCCTTGCTTTGTCTTATGAGCTATCATCAAATGGACAACCTGGCATGAGACAACTAGGAGAAACGATTTATGTTTCTCCTTTTTAGTCCTTCAGGTCCTTCACCTTCGATGCCCTCGTTCAGTCCACGATCAGAGCGTCTGGGCAGTTATCCCTCACAAGCAGAATCGAAAAGTACATCCCGCTAATATTTCCTCAATATGGCGGTGCATTGGGGCCAACGGATGGCCGTCAAATTATCTCCTTGTCGGTTTAGCTATCCCAGGTTACTGGCGTCGCTAGCGAAGCTGACTAAATTTTATTTTCAGCATCAGGTTACACCAATTAATGCGCTAAAGACTTTGATTCCTTCCGGAAGCCTCGTTTATGCTATTTTCATGATCTTTATTTTCCCGCTGCGCCTGCACTGTCCATGGACCACATGTCATCATCACATCGCCTCAATCTGTGCAGATCTCTGTCAGTGGGGTTTTTGGCGTGTAATATCTGTGCAAAGGACATACAGTGAAAATGCCTCTGCCTTTTGCTTTTTCTATGCCATCGGATCCGTGGCTCATGTACTCCGTATACGCTGGCTGAAATGGGTAGAAATATAAGCAAATGATATCCCATATCAAAAAAAAAAAAAAAAAAAAAAAAAAAAAAAAAATCTCAAGAGGCCCGCCAACTCATTAAAACGAACTATATATAAGCTGACTCCGTCCCGTCTTCAGTGTTTAGCCTCCTTGTCTTTACCCTCCTTTTCCTCATCAAGGTCTCGGTTCTCCATACCTGTCTAAATGCACCTTTCGTTTCCGGCGTATAAAATTACCCCTTGCGTTCCCTCCCCTCCCCAAAAAATTTCCCAATGGTGTGGTGGCGGATCTGGATCACCATGGCGCTGTGCCATGGCATTGGATCAAACGGGTTGGGTTTGACATGGAAAAAGTTACCAAAGCTCGAACCAGATCAAGGTCAAAGCTAGAATATCAGTTTGGCACCTTTGATCAGCAAACCTTCGGTTAGCGTGGATAATTGGGCCATGCAATAATAACTCAAATTGAACCCACATCACTTAAGTGCATTGTCCACCAGTAACCTGTCATTTCAGGGATTGCTGCTTACATCGTTACCGTGCTAATATCCACTGGTTAAAAATCATACTACGATTCGCAATCGGACATGGGTGTATAAGCAGCCATAAAAAATTCCGATGCACAACATCTCAGAGACCTTCTTTTATAGCCGAGTTGAACGCAAGATAAATTTGTATCGGCAGTGATTTTTTGTACGTAGTACTTCCTATCCACCTATCCAGTGGTGGAAGGAAAGGGTAAATAAATGCCTTTGAAGGGGTGGATCATAAACTATATGGTCAATTTTAAGTCGGCCTTCCTCTAGTCTCCGCTTCAGTGAATCATTTAGTGTCAATATTATTTCCATATTTTGGGTTTGATGAATTGATAGCAAAATGGAGTTATAATTTGCGAAAATGTCCAGAAGACCCGAGAAATCAGAATCCCATTTCGTCTCACCCGACAGTTACTACCGTCTCTATATACCAGGTTGAAACTCCATCGTCGTAGATCCACGAGATGTGCCTTTACCTTTGTCAGGCAGCAGGATTCCGTGGTTGCCTTGATCGGATCAGAGCAAGGTCCATGATTGCAAGTGGTGGATATGGATGGGTGAAATGGTGTTATCGTTTGGATTGGAATGGTGAGGATTCTGTGCGTATACGAAGCTGAGCAGATGAAACAGATCGAGCTACTCCTCGATGAGGTGAGACTGGACTCTGTGAGACGAGAATTAATGATATCCGTAAGTGATATCCCAGTCACAAAAGTGATATCCTAGTCGAAGGTTACGCAAGTGGCGTCCCGAACATTTATGAAGGTTGGTGGACTGCGTGCTTTGATGTGTTCACAATGCTATTATGCTTTGAATGGCAACGTTAATATCGTCAAGTATGTCAGAGTTTCATTTGCCTTTTGTTTCTCTTCTGGATCTCAGGTAGTTGTTTAGTTACAAGCGAACATGAAGTTACCCAACTACTCAAGTTCAAACTTCCAGTGTCTGCGAGCGTTTTCCCTTGTCTTCAGCTATGCCGGTGTAGCACAGTTGATGCCCTGGATTTTTCAATCTCTGTGACATGTCTATTGCATTGTATCAAACTACATCTGTATGTATGCACAGCACGTACATAAGCGTGAACAGTGCACCGGCCGGGTGTCCTCTGCCTCCCATATGGTGCGGTGGGACCGATTTAACTCGAAAAATCCCTGAATGCTGTGTCATAGTAGAATCCATGAAACCAATCCATGTATTCATGTGGGGTTGGTTTGTTTCCTTTTCTTTTCTACTTCTTCTCTTCCACGGCTTGATGGTTCGTCAGGAGTGACGCATAAAAGCAAGACCATAAAATTGTTATTCTTCTTTGCTTCTTTCGTTTTTAAATAGTTGATTGTTTGTTAAACCCTTTGGTCCCTCCTCAATAATCCACTTGCTTCAATGACCCACGGCTTTGTGCATGAGATTTTGGTCATTTGCGCATAATTGGCAAATTGCGATTTCACTCTCCATACTGGTTTCTGTTGCTATTGACCGGGATATACTAATTCGCCAAAATTTCTGCGGCGCTTTACCAGAGGTGGTAGACAATTGCAGCTCCTTACATTCATTTATAAATTTTGAATTCCATGGCAACCATATTTTATTTTATTTCATTTTCATTTTAATTTTTAGTGAATCATCCGTCAGACGTAGTTTCTATTCTTTTTGTTTATATATTATTTATTTCACACTACGACCAGTGTCTTTGATCTGATCTACATATTAAGTTAAACTTCTACAGGACCTTGAATAACTTGCATAAGTGAAAAAAAGGGGCATTCAAAGATCACCTTTATTGAGAAGGTAAAAAGGCTTTAAGTTGGTCTGCCAGGGTGAAGATCCGATTCGAGTCCGTCAGAGCTCGAAGCAAACTTCTCCAAAATTCAAGGGGAAATTTTAACCTTCTATTCCAGCCGTGGTAACTACCGATTGGACCGTTAACAGGGAAACTGATAAATAGACGACCCCAAAAAAGGGAATGAATGCCTTAACCTTTTTTGTTACAAAAAAAATCTATATATATATGTAGTTAAAGCAATCTCCCAAGTGATTGGTAAGAAGCTTTTTTTATTTATTTATTTATTTATTCAAGTATTTTTATACCCTCTCTCTTTGCACAAGACTCCTTAGTATCAAAGGAGAGCTGCTTAGGGAATATTTGCCGGTCTCTGGCTTTTATATGTCCTCGTGCGCCTAACGGGGACGGGGGGGGGCGGACAACACCGTTTTCAGTTGTACAGGTCATACGCGGCTATTGATGGGGTGACAGGCAATAACTGTTTGACCGGAGTTCTCCTTGCGTTCTTGCTCAATTGGATAAGAGCGTTCATTATCGGATTCGATGAGTAGCGCACAGCAGCCTAGTCGAGTAGACGGGAGAGACAGTAAAAAGGTGGGAGAAAAAAAAAAAAAGGGCAACTTGATTGTGGGCGGCAAGCGGGTTTGAGAAGCTTCCTCGTTAACCTGGATCTGCCCCGCTCGGAGGTGGGATGTTCAAATAAGACAAGTAAAGCAAAAGAAGCGACGGGGAAGGAATATGCAAGCCAGAACTTGAAAGAGCCCTAATTGCGCTGGTTGAACCAGGGCCCTCCCTGCTTGTCCAGCATGATGGGTTGGAGAAGGGCAGGATTTCGCAAGTCTAGGAGGTTTTGGGAAACCGGTCCTTCGGGATTACTCTACAGTAATTGGAGTGAGTGCATGGCCAGAGTATGGCCGAAGAACTAGCTCTGCACGCTTCGGAGAATGCCCTCGTTTTAAGATCGTGAATGACCTGTGAACCCGGGCCGTCCGCGAGGCCCACTGTCATTGCTTAGATTCGCCGCACATGCAGGATCCGTGCAGCACAGGTCGAAAGCCGAGAAAAAGCTCAGTAGACAGACATTGGCGACACATATATTATCTGATCCCACCATATAACTAGATAAGGTGTCGGGCGGTTCGTTGATCAGAGGTCTTATCAGGAATCGCTCTCTTGAGCGACATAAACGCCCCCACCCACACCGGCACCACCCCTCCCCCCTCCCCCTCCTCCTCTTCTCCTCCATTTCTTCTTCTTCTTCTTCTTCTTCTTCTTCTCCTCCTCCTGCTCTCTTCCTCCTCCTAAAACATCCTTTCCTCCCCGGTTGGAGGCATGTACTTGTACATGTACAGCCTAGACAAATGTGACTGCAAAAATCCACGCACACGAAGCTGTTGCTAGCTTGCAGCTGTAGCTTAAATTTCTGCACCTATTGAAGTAGCAGGCTAAGCTCGACGAGCCACATCAACATGCGAAGAATGCTGACTACCAAAAGGGCGTACGTAGTTGCTTCCAAGCATCTACAAGACGACGAAAGACCTGCATTTTGATCGCGGCCCGAGATTTTGCGGGGGAAGAAGCGCGGAGCCCGGGTTAACCTGTGCCGAGGGATCTGTTGTGGGGAAGACCACATGACTTTGCTCCCGCCGTATTACGTGATTAATGATTTGATGGGAGGAATGCGGTCACGGGACGGCTCAACTGGCCGGATACAGTCTAGCGGTATCCACTGCCGGCTATACAGTGGCAATACGAACCCGCAGTACTTAAATCCAAGCCATTTTCCGACGCAAATTCGGTAACTAAACTTACTTGCGTGCATACATAATAATGTATCAGAACGTCTTTTTTGAGCGTCATTAGGCCTCAACTCGCTGCCATCTCAATCTCTTTGCTCCGTAGAACATTCGTTTACTGGCTGTCTTCCTCCTTTGAAGCGGATCCGCAAAATATCTCGGTTGTCCTTGCAGTGGTAACGGCTCCAACCGAAAATCACCGTAGCATTTCTCTGCTGCTTACATGCGTGACTTACCCGAACTGCCATCTCTGACAAGCCGAGGCATCTCCAACTCAGCCAAGCTCCCCAAAAGCTGAAATAAATATCTGCGACTTTGTGCTTCTCATCTCCATCTTTTCTCTTCCATTCCTAATCTCCAGGTCATCTTTCATTCTCTGCAATACCACCTACCACCTGTTCACTTGCGAAACGTGTCTCGTTTTCTGAAACGCTCCCCGTATCACCACTCCTCAGAACAAAATGGCATCTCCTCGTAAGTCTCCGGATATCGCGTCCTTCGGCGACATAAATATTCACTCCTTTGACACACATGATTAAATTTCTAAGACTCATTGCTAACCGACCATGATGGTTCTTGCGGGGTAGAGCAACTCCGCACGGTGACGACTGATCTCCTCGGGATCAACCACCCAGTCATCTTGGCTGGTATGAACGTTGCGGCCGGTCCTAAGCTCGCCGCCGCCGTTACAAATGCTGGAGGTCTCGGGGTTATCGGAGGAGTCGGCTACACTCCCGATATGCTGCGGGAGCAGATCGGGGAGTTGAAGAGTTACTTGAACGACAAAAATGCGCCATTTGGTGTGGATCTCTTGCTTCCGCAGGTTGGAGGCAGTGCGCGAAAGACAAAGTATGTGGTTTCCCTATGATTCTGTTTCTTCGACACAGAACGGGCTGGAAAGGGGAAGCGTGTGCTATTCGAAAATAACACAGTGAACACTAATACCAAGACAATCTAAAACAACAGCTATGATTACACCAAGGGCAAACTGGGCGAGCTTATCGATATCATCATCGAGAGTGGCGCCCGCCTCTTCGTCTGCGCCATCGGAGTCCCGCCAAAGGCTGTTGTCGAGAAGCTCCACGCCAACGGCGTCCTATACATGAACATGATTGGCCACCCCAAGCACGTCCAGAAGGCCATCGATATTGGGGCGGATCTCATTTGTGCCCAGGGTGGAGAGGGTGGTGGCCACACCGGAGATGTCCCCACCTCCGTCCTCATCCCCACAGTTTCCAAGATCTGCGCCCAAAACATCAGCCCCTTCACCAAGCAGCCCGTGCAATGCATTGCTGCTGGTGGCATCTTCAGCGGCCAGTCTGTTGCTGCAGCTCTGATGTTGGGCGCTTCAGCCGTCTGGGTTGGTACACGTTTCATCCTTGCCGATGAGGCTGGTGCCCCCGAAGCTCACCAGGAGGCTGTCCGCACCGCTGGCTTTGATGACAATATCCGCACTATCATCTTCACGGTATGGAATTGGCCCGATTTCCTTGCTTTGCTATGAGCCTCTTTTTTTTTTTTTTTGTTTTGTTTTGTTTTGTTTTGTTTTGTTTTTGTTTGTTTGTTTACTTTCTTTTCCCCCCCTTTTTAGCAGGATTTAATCAGCGCCTTTCATTACTAACACCATAACAGGGCCGACCACTCCGCGTCCGCAACAACGCTTATATCCAGAACTGGGAAGAGAACCGTGCCCAGGAAATCAAGGAGCTCACTGGCAAGGGTATCATTCCCGTCGAACACGACTTTGAGAACCTCCCAGAAGATGCCGACGACAGCGTGCTTGAAAACGCCCGGCCTTTCCTGATGGGCAAGGTTGCTGCTGTTGTCAATGAAAAGAAGCCCGCTAAAGCTATTGTTGACGAGCTCGTTGGGGATGCTGTGAAGTGGCTTCAACAGGGAAGTAAGATGATTGCTAAGCTGTAGATATCTCCCTTTTGCATTTGCTTTTATTAAGACCAGTTCCTTTGTTTCTCTCTCTCTGTCTTCCTTTCTTTTTTTTTTCTTTTTTTTTTCTTTTTTTTTTTTGGTGTGTTGTGTGTGTGTGTGTGTAGAGAAATTGGGTTGGGGTGGTCTTTTTAACTGTTTTCTTTTTGGATGAGAAGAACAATCTGTCACCAGCACCAGCAAATAGGCATGAAATTGATGAATTTAGCTGAGCAGGGCAGTACGTCCTACTGGAATATGATGTCATTGTATTATCTGTATATTGATATCCTGAATATATGATGTTTTCTCCTTCCATGTATACTTCCTCGCATTATCCCGTTTCGCTTCCATATTCCCGCCTACGTTTCTTCCATGGCCAGGTTATTTCCTCCGTTATGGGCCTCATTGCTCTCCCCAGTTGTCTACGGTACCTGCTCCATGGTTTTCTTCCTTGCTGGGTACATTCGTCTCTTGAAAATGTTGACTTATCTTTTGCTAAGTTTGTACTATAGATTTCGAAGTATATGTCCCATGAGTCACTCAACATTTTTGTCAGCTCCTGTTTTCCCTCTTCAGGCATTCCCCATAGTGGCATAAGCTTTGATCAAGCATTTACAACCTCCCCATCACGTTTAACCGGGGTTCCCACAAAGCAGCATCCAAGAACCCCCACAACCCTGTTAAAAGACATCCTGTATCCACGTAGGCCGGCAATGCATCCCTCCTTTTAATCTCTGTTCCTTTACTCCCCTTACATTTCTCCCTCATCCTCACCCCAGTTCAACTCCAACACATCCTAGCTAATTCCGCAGCATGTGATCGCTGGCCCACTCTGAACACCGGCGGAAACCGTTCGAGAATACATGGCAAATACCAATATATATATATATGAATCCAGTCATCCCCACAGATGGATCCAAGCTTTTCACGAGCTTCGGTTTAAGCAGGGATGTAACGGATGTAACTAAATTGGCCAGCCCGTCCATGAAGGTGCACGCGCCCTACTCTGGACTACAACAGAAATCCGCCGCAACCGTGTCCCCATATAGTTATCCACTGCTTAACCGTGCCACTGGCCCACATGATGTGCGACAGATTCGTGAGAAATGATGGGAATGCAACAAAACCGTAGCAGGGAGGGCTGTGTAGGTAAAAAGGAGGAACATGGGTTAGAGTTGGCGCAGAGGAGTGTGGGCGGGAGTCTTTATATACGGATTGAGTTTCATGAGAAGCATATTCGGGCCGGGCGGGGCGGGTGCCTGGTCAGAAGCTGACCATGAAGAGGATCGAATAAACCGAGCTAACGAACGAATGTATTTCTGTCTCTATCTAATCTAACACCGAACGGGCGTAATGAACGAATATAATTATATAAGGAAAAGCACTTTCAAATGAATGGAGGCTGTACCAAAACGGAAGTAGTTATTCCGATTCTGGATAGAAGGGGCTTGGCTATATAAAAGGTTACAGCTGTATCAGACCATCATATGTTATGCACTAGATTTGGGTGTTTTTCGAGAAGTTCGGGTAATTGAGGTTGCTAAAGCAAGGTGGGTTCATTGCTGTGTACGGAGGTACAGGACGTCTTTCATTGTCGTACTTCTGTTCACAGAGGGTGGTCAATAGTTGGTCTAAGAGAAAATAGATGGATAACTACCAGTCTTGCATACGTGGCGCGATGTTCCCCTAGATATTTCATCTCCATGAACAGTCTACTTATGTGTCTCCTGCTTCTTGTTTAGTGACATTTCATGTTACAAAGGGGCAAAGGGACAAAAGGAGTAATGAGTGAGATGGTTAGAAATGTATGGCAGGAGATTAACTACATGACATATGTAGTTACCAATGAAATGCACAGCAAACCGCGAGTCTCTATGCAAGCTTGGGTAATGAGAATAAGAGGTTCCAAGGTTGATTTCTTCATGCTAGAATGGTCGGTTACTTAGTCTTTAATTAATAATTAGAGTGGTCCACCAAACTTCTGCAATGGTTCTGAGAGTCACTTCCTGTCACAAATCCCAATCTGCCACCAAACTTTCAGCGCCACCCCGGAGACGCTCTGTTGGCTGTCCTGTGCTGTCCTGTTTTCATCCATAGATATGTTGTGACGTTGTTTTTGCTCTCACTCTTGAATGCTCTGTTTTAACAATTGTCACGAACATCATATCGCTCGTATGCCTCTGATTGCTCATATGCCGTATGCCTCGGATCTCTGCGGACCGCCACGGCCGTATGCCTCACTTATGACCAAGCTCGCGTACGCCCGCGGACACATATATATTTCATTCTTTTCTCGCTGTTTTTCTCTTCTTTTTTCATAGTTATTATCATATAGATTAGCTAGTTATTACTACGAATACTACTATCTTATGCCGACTACGTTCTGACTATCCGTTACAACGGTTGAGTCAGTGATCGATAGGCTCTGTTGGAGCTGTCCAGGATCACCAGTTCAGCTTGCAAGCTGATTGGGCCCTCATCAGATCCCAATACATAATTCCATGGAAGGAGTGTTATTCGTATTGCATCCAGATTATGACACAAAGGAGATGTTAATCATCCATGGAGGCACGGCGGGCCACACCAACCTTGCAAGAAAGCCGTATCGGAATGCCATATCGGAATGCCGGATCGGAATGCCGGATCGAATGCTGGATCAGAATAATGGGACCGGTCACAACACTTCAAACACTTCAATTTTTTTCCACTCTTCACAGTCAAATTCTTCAACTTTTCACATGGTCTTCCCTGCCAAACAAGGATTTAATTAAACTTGCAATTAAAGATTTGAATTGGAAATGCAAAAGATCAAAAATTATTGTGCCACTGCTAAAAAAATATTCAATTAGGAGAGATATATTATGCTGATAATATGTTAGGCTCGGCGCCGGCGCCGGCGCGCCGGGATTAGGTTTATCCCATCACGTAACCCTGTGGATTGGTTATGATCCGGGCAGACCCCGGCACCTCATTTTCTGTCACCAAGCTTAGTATTTCATTATTGTAGCAGTTAGCAATGTAGAGGATCCTTTCTTATGCAGCTCGCATTCACTCCCTAACATAATATAAAGATATTCAACTCTTACATAATGAAGTTATTTCCCTATATAAAAAGAAGATCACAAATATGCAAGAAAAGTAACTTCTACTTTATATAGAGAAACTTACAACTTACAGCTTCGCTTTATATCTCAGATTATACAAAACCTAATAAAAGAGATCATTAAAAATCTTTAGAAGAGAAGTGAATAAGCTGCTTTATCAAATACTATAAAAATCATATTAAATTTCTTTTTGTTTATATAATTGATCAATAATACAAATTTAAGATCATTCTGAAAACTTAAAATATTAATATAAACTTATAATTTGATAATTTTATTAATTTTACTTTTCAATTATGTTTATGATTTTTTATTAATAATTTTAATGTTTTATCATATAATTAAAAAAGAAAATTGAAAAATTTAACATTAAATCATCAAGTATTTACAACTTTGATGAAAAAACTTCAATGAAAAAAACTTTCTAATTAATATTAATTAGACTTTCTAATAAATTATATCAATTAAACAGTTTAAAATAAAAATATTATTACAGTATAAATTAATAAATATAAATTTATATTATGATTGATTAAAATATAAATAAATAATATATATTTATTATCTGTCATAATTTATTATAAAATTAAAATATTGAATATATAATTATAAAATATAAATAAAAAAATTTAATATATTTCACAGTTTTTATAAAAAAATTACAGCAATAATAATTATAATTTTAACTGATTTAAATGAGTATTTAATTATTATATTAAAATTAAAACTAGTTATAAAAAATATTTTTATTTTAAATAATTATTCTTTATATATAAAAATTAAATTCTTCTTATAGTTTATTTTTATATTTTATATATTATTTATAATTTTTAAATATTAAAATATTTAACTTTTTAATAGATATATATTTTTATAAAGTTAATAATCTATTTAATAAATAAAGTTTTTTATAGTTTTTAACTCTATATAAAGTAATGTTTTATAGTTAAAATATTTAATTTATTTTTATTATTATTAATATTGATTTTTTTATATCTAAGTATATTCTCTATCTATTTTAAAAATAATTACTATTTTTTATTAAATTAAACTTTAATAAAATCTTTTACTATTATAATTATTTATACTATATACTATAATAGTTAAAAAAATTTAACTTCAACAAAACTTATTCTGTAATAAATATGAAAAACTTATATATATTTATAAGAGATTTATATATGACAATGAGATTTTTATAAATTAAAATATAATCTTTATTAAGATTTTATAAAATAAAAAAAATATTAGCAGTATGAAAAAAATTTATATTTATTTGATTCTGAATATATTAATTAAATATAATTTTTTTATTATTTAAAATTCAATAAATCTATAAATAATTTTAAATTATTAGTTTAAAGAAAAGAAAAAATTACTAAGTAAATATAAAAGTAATTTCAATATAATTTTAAAAAACCTCATATTATTAAAAAAGTATAAAAAAATATAAATAATAAATTATTTAAACTACTTTTTAAAATTGAAAAAAAAAATTAAAAATTAAAATAGTATAGATTTAAAAAAAAAACTATATAACAGATTAAGAAAATAAAAAGACAAGTTAAAAAAAGTGAAAAACCAGAAATCAACTCATATTTATACTGTCACTACTCACAAAATATAAATTAAATAGTAAAAATATATTTACATTAAAGTAAAAGTAAAAGTAAATTTCTACATCATTCAATTTTATATAATTTTATAATTTAAAAAATATAATTTGTTTCAATTTATTAAGTTATTTAGAATTTATTTCTATCATAAATTTAGAGCTTAACACTTTCTTCAATAATTTTCTAATCTCATACTAGATGTTGTAACTTTAATCTAAATACAAATAAATAAATATTCAATTGTCAGCTAGATAAGTTAATTTAATAAAATATTAAAATACTCTATAAATTATAGATCTGAGAAAGTCTTTTTTAATATATCTTTTTTAAATATTGATTATTATATTATTATTAAACAGTTTCTATAAAATGATTACTGAACTATTATTATTACTTTTTCAGATAATATCAGTTTGTCATAAATATCATATTACTTGTATATTTTAAATTGCTTATATATTTCATATCATTTATATATCTCAAATTTCTGCAGACTATCTTACTATATGTTTTACTTATGATCAAGCTCATATACATTTAAAGATTATGTATATATATATTTTACTATTTTTTTTTCTTTTTCTTTAGATATAAATCATTATATAGATTAGCTAATTATTATTATAAATATTACTTTTTATGTTTATTTTATTTCAATTATTATCACATTTATGAGTCTAATATAATATTATATAAGATATAATTTATTAAAAATCTTTTTTTATTTAGTTTGATATGAACTGAGTTATTGAAAGAACTAATATTTAAATCTTTGCATTATTTTTACAGATTTTATATCTTTTACTTATAATTTTTTTGAATTATATTATCAAAATTCTATCAATTTAATATAAAAATTTAAGATTTTAAAACTATTAAAATAGTTGATCAAGATATTGAAAGAATTATTGAAATTTTTAAAATATTCAAAAATTGAATTATATAATATTGATGAATATTGATGATAATATTTATCAATAAAATAACTATTTACATTGACACTAACTGTTACGGCGCAGCTGCTTGTATATGGATTAAGATTGATCCGCCTCGCTACGCTCTAAAGGTTGATCCGTTCCGATCTCAACCATATTTGGTTGCTCAGGTTGATCTGATCCAATCCTCAATCACCTGTCATGGCTCAACTAAAGTCAGGATGATAACAAGACAACAGCTTTAATTCATCTATCTAACTAGGCAGCTGCGATGAGAATATTAAACTGAGAATTAGAATGAAGAATGAACAAGCAGCCGAATATATAGGTGGTTGGGGATCGGATCGGATCAACATGGGACAACTGAGTATGGTTGAGGTCGGAACAGGATCAACCTTTAGAGAA